GGACATAATTTTGTCTGAACAACCAAATGAACTTCGCAGTTGTCATCAGATACTCGAAAGAGTTGTCTATACCATTTGAAAAAGGATGGCCTGACACGATCCTGTATACAGAACTGTAATCTTTTAATGTCTATAAATATCCCGTTGTCATTATCATTAACTCCATTTCGCATAATGCACCTGATAATATTTTTTAGTAATACAGAATCAGGGTTCGCCATAACTACAGTTTATGTAGCCTATTATAGTATTTACCGTAAGTTCTAACTTCACCCAGTTAAACACAGCCTACAAGAAAATGAAGAAAGTTATGAGATAAGTGTTATTAATTCAGCTTCGATCACCTCTACTGATATTTAATCATTGCATATAAAAATCATATTATCATTTTCTATTTCAAAGAAACACACAAATAAAGTAGATATCGAAAGCGAAAGTAGTATTTCTAGAAACTTTCGCCTACAACAATCAATCATAGCGACGACACCATAATTCATTATGATTATAACCATAGTACGAATCGGGTGGGTGCCATACTCCTCCCAGTGTTTCGTTTGATTAGAACTAATCCCACCCAAACACTGCTGTAATGAAAACAAATTTCTGTTCCAAATTATGACTTAATAGTCCGATTATTAAAGGAGCTAAGTCGCTAATATTTGGGACCTAAAAATTGACACAAATGGGTAGCAACGCATACAATAATGTAATATGAATGTATATAAATTGATTTACATTCAATCGTTTCTGTTTTTACTGTAATTTCTAATCAGTAGGTTCGCAGAAATACGCTGCAGTATTCTCAATCGAATTTTAATCTCTAGCGTTTTTCCAGTCTACGCCGATAGTATTTATTGGGCATGCTCTCCAGATAAGAATATAGCGTCACCGTTTGACATGACCTGTGGAATATGCCTAGCCTCGTTTTTCGAGTCCCTTATTACAAATAGCGCTGAAACGCATTATGGTACACGATTCGTGTACCAATTGTAAAATGTTTATTTTGTCTTAAATATTGAATATCAGAAGCCCATCTTTTCCCGGTAAGATCACAACATCAATGTTGATTTAAAGCGACAAATAAATCGTGTTTTCAATGTCAAAGATTTTGGATGATATTGAGTTAGAGACTTAGCTACTTTAACCAATACCTAACCGCGTAACAATTTCATTCGGAATTAAACAGAACTCCATAACGTTATGTCATGACTCACGAAATTTATTAAGCCCAATTAACTATATGCGTAGCAGAATATTGCAAAAAAACTAATTGTGTGACAAACGAGGCTCTCAAATAGGCTACAATGTAAACAATACTGCTTGGAGACGAACCATACTTTCGCAGTTTTTAATACCTTAAATCACTGTCCAAAATTTTAGGGAAGACCCCAGATTAAATGAAGGGCTGTCACGTTGCTGTACTTAGGAGAGATTTGATTGAACGGGAAGAATAGCCACACTCCCTCAAAAGCTCAATTAAGTATCAGAAGTCAATCCAGCAATGGCAATGGGATTTCTCGGGCCATTGCTTCAGGAATATGGGTGGATGCGTGCAGATTAAAAAAGTTTGTTGCCTTCTATCAGTTTGTCGGTAAAGAGGGCCGGTGGAAGCAATTCTTGATTGGGGTGGTGGGGGACTGGGGGGGGGGGGCTACCATCCTAGGACTTTAGGCGATAAAGCTCCTGGAGATCTAGAGACGCTTTCTGGCTAATGAAATTACCCAGGAATTTAGTGAAATTTTAATTTCCTTTTTAAATCCCTTACCATGCAAGCACATTCGATGTTTGTTTCCTGCGATGCTGAACTTGACAAATATATTCCTAATAATGTTTTAGACACTATAGAGATCACAATTTTTGTACGATTTCGATGAAACTGACAATGTTTGTTTATAACCGAATAAAGATCTCGATATATTTAGCTTGTACCCTATGGGGCGCCGTTTGTAAATTAATTATTTAGCTTTTTATATAGCAAAAAACACTAGATTTAATTTAGATTTATATATATAGTTAAATCTCGACTTTTGTGCAAATTTTTCACTTTTAATATTTAAACTAAAAATACAACAAAAACTCAATATTTAACATAATATATATAAATATTTCTTGATTTGTCTCTATTTTCATATTTAACATTTAGCATTGAATATTAAGACCAAAACAAGAGATTTGATGATATATAAATATTTAGCTAAATATTTAGTTAAATGTTTAAACATTTAGCTAAATATATATTTAGTTAAATGTTAAAATATTTAGTTAAATGTTAAAATATTTAGTTAAACATTTATATATTTAATTAAACATTTATATATTTAGCTAAATAATATATATTTAGCTAAATAATATATATTTAGCTAAATAATATTTATTTAGCTAAATATTTATATATTTAACTAAATAATTATATATTTAGCTAAACATATAGTTAAATTTACAAAGCGCAACCGTACCACGCCGTTTGTAAAATAATTATTGTTGTAAGCGACTTCACACTAAACGATGACGTAGTGTACAACTTTCCATTGACTGCACAACACAGTACTATCTGGTACCTACGAAAGCCCAGAAGGCTCATTCCAAATTCCAAATTCCAGATTCCAAATTCCAAACGGTCTGACAATTAATTTTATTTGCGCAAACCAGTGAGGTGTTAAATAGAAACAGAATACAGCCGTCTTAATGCTAGGTTCCCACTATCACGAATCGCGCCAAGAAAATGTGTCTGCGATCGTCAAATTTTTCAAATTATCTTTAAGGGGCGGGGGACCCGCACCACTATCTGTAACCCGAAATTATTTTTTGGGTGCATTTCAGGTTCTGCCCCCCCCCCCTTACATTCATCGAGCCCGTACGCCTTTGCTCGCAACTAGGCGTCTCTCCACCCAGGGATCAGTATAGAGCATAATAGGGTTTTCTTCTGAAAGTCTACGTTCTAAAAGTCTCATTTCTAACTTAAAATCAGACCTCGTTGTATCTAACGGCATAATTACTTGCGTTCAATAACCCGTACTTACTAGAGGAAGTCATAGGGAATAGGATTGGTCCAGTTTGAGTGTCTTTGCAGGGGAATGCCCAAAGTAAATCTCATCGAAACGAGAAAGTTCGTGGAATAGAAAAGGAAGAATGGTCAGCGTCCGCAGTTTCGCCCGATTTGCCATTGGTACTACGACCTTAGTCAGGGTAGGTAAGTTGGTCTGACGGTCAATCGGGCCTTAGGGTCCGCCGCCTGTCCGACCTAGATGTTATGTTCATAGATGCTCTGACCTTGGTTAGGGTCGGTAGTGATAGGTATGACTGTCGGGCGGGTCCTAGGGCCCGCCGCCTGTCTGACATAGGTTGAAGGGTGCAGCAATGCTTTTCGGGTCAGGCATTACCTTGCCATAGGCCTTACCACCAGAAGAAAAACGGCCCCCACAGAGCACCCGACGTCCCTTCACATAGGGACGTCCGACTAGCAGTAGCCCTCGGAATGATCACTTATGGATCCCGTCCGTTGGGTCTTGGGGTAGGTCTCCATATCTTCACAGAGTAGAACACTCTTGTCGTCCCTACGGGGTCACATCATCATATCTAGGATACCAATCCCACACACGAATTCGTAGATTAACTCATAGATCTCGTGTTTGCTTATTTTAGGATAGAGTATGCCCCATTTTGGGCACCAAATGCTGGGAAAATTTGGGCACACAATTGTATAAAAAAATATTGTGTTCTTGAATGTGTCCAATTTAACATCGAATTTATTATTATGTAACATACTAAGAACCTAACTACATTTTTTGGGCACCAACCACCACCGCCCCCCCCCACTCAAAAATTTCCCGGTACGCCTATGCTGTAGAGGCTAAAGTTACTGCCAGAGTTATGGCCCTTGATCACTTTGAAAAATCTTGTGGAAGCTCTAGAGGCTAAATTTAATATCCGATTGACTTTATATTTATACACAGTGTTTAAGGTCATGAGACGGAGTATCCTATTGATTTTCAACAATTTCCAATAATTACTGCCAGAGGTATGACCCTTGATCACTTCGGAAAATCTTGTGGACGCTCTAGAGGCTGAAGTTAATATCCGATTGACTGTAAATTTACACACAGTGTTTAAGGTTATTAGACGAAGAAACCTATTGATTTTCAACAATTTCCGATAATTACTGCCAGAGTTATGGCCCTTGATCACTTTGAAAAATCTTGTGGATGCTTTAGAGACCATAGTTATCATCTGATTGGTTTTATATTTATACACTGTGTTTACGCCTATATATAATCGTTTTGATTGACTTTTGATTGATACACAGAGTTTAAGGTCTTGAGACGAACAAGTATATTGATTTTCAATGATTTTTGGTAACTTGAACAGCTAAATCCATGGTATTACATGTTTTGTATACTAAACACTAGCATGGGCCAAACAATTCTAATGATTTTCTGATAATTACTTCATGAGTTGTTACTCTTGAATCAGATTTTAGTATTATAAATGTTTCATTACCAACAAAAGTAAAATTATGCGACAACTCATGTTGACTGCCCGGACGATTTAGCTGCTGTGGGTGTATGTTTCGTTGCCTGGCAACCCATATTTATTAATGCCTTAATCTCATTTTATATGTTAACCAGTTAATAAGTTAACTGCTCTCGGGCCTGCAACTTATAGATTGTGTAGTTGGGCTAGCAAAGAATTTGTAGGCTGCCAATTCGTCCCTAAACTTCAGCAATTCAGGTTTCAGACTTCAGCACTTCTGATGCCATGTTCCATTTTGTAGTATTGATAGATCTGGGTTTAATTTGAGCAATGTTAACAACGATCATAAGATCATAGTAAGAATTCAGTTGTAATGGGAATTAACTCTAGCACAAATATGCTTTTATATGGTGTCAGACAACTGAGTACCGTGTCTGGTAATAAGATTAGGTTATACAATCAGATCTATTACAGTATAAGTAAGAGATCGATCGACTGCAGTATAATAATGTCCACTGAAGTGAAAAAGCTAAGTATAGTTTGTTTTATTTAATTGGTATTCCTTCATTGGTTTTGTACAGTTTAAATATAATAATTAAAATGATGACAGTTCTACATAAATAAAATAATCTTTGGAAGAAAAAATATAACTGTAGTGTATAATATTGCATTTAAACAACATGCTATAAATGTATACTTATAGTTTACCTATTGAAGTATAAAGTTACACGAAATACCTATCCTCTTCAGCCAATAGGGAAAATATATCTATTTGACTGATTGGTAGGCCTACTTTCCAACAAGTCCATTTCTGAAAAACTCAACTCTCTAGTTTATATACTGTACATTTATGACTGTTCAAAAAGGGGAGAGAGAGCCACTCGACACAAACTAGGTCATTTCGGGACTAACATATGGTTTAATTTTATTTACATAATTCGCTTGCGCCTAGGGGTCTTTAGCAGTGGGAGGAAACCGGAGGCCCCGGAGAAAACCCACAAGTTGGACAGGCGACCCTACTCCTTGCCACGTACAACCGGGGATTCGAAACCACGCCAGTCGACTCCATGACAGACTTTATGATACAGTGCGCGCACGCTAACCATTCAGCCATCCAACCCCCCTGTTCAAAAAGGACACCCTTTGTTGTTTTGACTTGAAAAATTACTTTGCTATGGTCAGAAAAGTTGTATTTCGTGTCACCGTTACACTATATTTTTATGTTTTTTGTGCGATAAAGTTGGATAAAGTGATGTGAAGTCATAAAAATGATGGATTTCTTTCAATAAGCTGGCAGTAATAATAATGGCACAACTAAATTCAACAACAAAACACATCAAAAATTAAAAAGCTTTCCATTTCAACGACCTGACTAACAAGAAGAGTCTGTTATCCTAATTTAAAGATTCATCTTTTCCAGTAGGCGAACTATTTAAAATATTAATTAACTATAACACATACCAGTACTTATGGAAAACAGCTACTAATATAATAATAACTAATATTTCAAACCCTAGTGAAATTTTTTTTAAAAATTAGTGAAATAAATGGGGGATATTTCAACTCTTAATGTAATAATATTTTAATTACCCTTTTACTTTTATTTCACTATGGTTTCTAATTTAGAATCCTAATTTTGTTTGAGTAAATAGTATTATGAATGTATAAACTGTATTCACTAATAACAGTTTTATCCTGAGTTGTTCTTTACACATAAAACATAGAGTATACTATAACATGTATCATCTTGCAAAGTCAATGGTCCTTTATAAATAATGATAGGTAATTTCGGGACTAAAATACGTTTCAATTTTATTTCAATAATTCACTTGAGCACAGGGGTCTTTAGCAGAGAAAGGAAACTGGACGACCAGGAGAATACCCACGAGGTTGGACAGATGACCCTACTCCATGTCATGTTCAAGTTGGGTATCAAAACCAAGCCACTTGACTCAATGACAGAATTTGTGATTTCATGCGTTGAACCACTAGACCTCCCCACCGAAAGACAGACAAGGAGACAGCCATATATGACCACATTAAAACACAATCATGTAAAAACTATAAATTAAGCCTCCAATGAAGAGTTAAAACAGAGTCAATGATTGAGTAAGTTGTTAAAGGTTACAGTAAAATGTTACAACAATGCGAAAGGTTCAGTAAATTGCTTAAATACCTTAAAAAGTTTATAAAAAATTCCCAAAAGTGCTTCAGCACAATTAAAGGTTAAACATTATAAGGTTCATAAAAATTGTTGGAACACAATAAAAGGTTCAGTAAGTGATAATACATGATAAAGGCTCCATTAAAATATGTCAATATCATAAAGCTTCTACAAAGTATAAAGTTACAGTATTCTAAAGGCTAGAGTATAATAAAAGTTCTTGTAAAGTGTGCCAATAAAGTGTTGTTACAATAAAATACTAAAAACAATAAAGGCTTGAGTAACATGTTACAATAAAGTGTTATAGCAATTTTAATATTATACTATAAAACAATTTCAAGTTTCTACACAAAGTAACATGGTACAGCACAAAAGCTTGAGTAAATTGTTACAACCCAATGCAGGCTTCAGTAAAGAGTTATAATAATAGTGCTATTCAATAATAAAATCTCCAGTAAAGTGTCATAACAATATTACTATAAGCTTTAGGAAAGTCCAGCATCCTAATAAAATGCTTAGTTAAGATCAGTTACAGTTTATAGAAAAGTTTTGTAATACTGTAAGTGTCCATTGAAGAGTTAAAAATGTGTTTTGAGAGAGAGAGAGAGAGAGAGAGAGAGAGAGAGAGTTTAATGTCCAATGACACAAACTAGGTCATCTCAGGACTAACATATCGTTCAATTTTATTTGAATAATCTGATAGCGTGTATGGATCTTTAGCAGTGGGAGGAAACCAGAAGACCAGGAGAAACCCCACGAGGTTGTACAGGCATATCTACATTCCTTGTCACATAAAATTGAAAGTATGCCACTTGACTCAATGACAATCTTATGCTTTCACACTAGACCCTCCCTACTCCCATGTGTTTTAAGATTTAAAATTGTCTATTAAAGATCTACGACATAAAAAAGAATCTGTAAATGAGTCTATAAATGAAGATCGCAGGATGACTAAAATAATCTGTTAAAATTTATCCAGACAAGACAAACAATAAACATGTATTCAACAAATAGAGTATCTAAACCATTAATGTAACAATATATATCTAATAATAACAAATTCAAAAGATAACAAAAGGGGGGAAACAAGTGTAAAATTAATTACTCTGATCTACAAAGAAAACAAATACTAACAATACAATATGATCTTTAAATTCCACCTTATTCCTTTCAAAAATGTTATTGGTCTAAATAGATTTACCATAAATAGAAAAGAACTTAAAAATATTAGGAAGAATAATAAAAGAAAATTTATGTACCGTAGAAAAGAATGTATATGTTATTATAATTTAATACAGTATTTGATGTAATAATCAGCTTAATTATGGATCCATGTATGTTTTTTTCATACTTAAATTTCTTCACACAATGTTATAGGGATATATCCCATTCCAACTACATCGTATATAATATCTACATGTATGTGAAATAAACAAAACTATTATGATATGTGTGACTATATATAAATAAAAATACCCAACTTCTGGCTTTCTTTTCATATCTACATGTATGTGAAATAAACAAAATTATTATGATAGGTGTGAATATATAAATAAAAATACCCAACTTCTGATTTCAATATTTTATGTTTTTTTTATAAAATATCTATTACACTATCCTCTAATATCTGTATTCCTGAAACCATGACCATAATACAGAAGACTAATTACAAGCCTTTAGACTCATTAATCTCTGGTTACAATCGAACACTGGTCAAGAATAACAGTTCTAAATCTATCTTTTAAATAATAATTCTTTGTATCACACCTAATTTAATATATCAGTCAATCATGTTTTGTCATCACATTTCTGGTCTTCATCTTTAAATAAAAGAAGTGGAAACATTCCAATAAAACAACCAAATGCTACACCAAATGCCCTTGCCTGAAAAAAAAGAATTTAAATACATAAATCATTTTGAAAGGTAACCAGGTACAAAAAAACCCGGACTCTTAATAACACAAATGTTATCAGCACCATATTTTTAAATTTTAAGAACTGAAAAATAACACCTTAATTTCTATGATCCTGGAATCATCAATTGTTTTTTTTAAAAGATTTAATTATAAATACGCACACATTGTAATATTATCAAAAGTAAATCTCTTTGTGCTATGTAATCTACAGTGAAAAACCCAAACAGTATTTTTGAATGAAGGGAAATAACTCCTGTTTCTGCTGTTCACAGAAATCTAGGTTATGTTTGAAGCAATGATCTGAGAAATCCCTGTTGCACTTGGAGCCGAAAGTTGGAGTTTTGACAGAGTGTGTCTATTTTGATTGCCCAATCAAATCTCTTCCGAGTTTTATTGTTGTAATTCAGTTTGTTGAAACAAAATAGCAACATGGCAGTCCTTCTGATACAGGGTCTTCCGTAAAACTTTGGACAGTCGATTAAATGTATTAAAAGATGGTTAAAATATTGTTCATCAACAGGTGAGAGAAATATTCTAAATGTGGTGATTACCTTATGTTTACATTTGCAGCTATTTTGGACAGTCTCATTTCTCATATAATTAATTTTTCCGGAATATCCTGCTCTTCTCTGGTTAATCGCTAATAATGAATTTTGCATGTTGTGAAATATGGTAGCCATGACTGTCATTACATTAACATATCTAGAGCTCTGGTTAATCCCAATTGATTTGTTGTTAACCTGACTATTAACCAATCATAATTTGAGACAGGAATCATCACTGAGGTGGACTAGGTCTACTCAAACATAACACCGCGAGGACTATACGTCTTTGCAAAACATCAATGAATTGAAAATCTTTTCTTTTTAGACATTTAAGTGTAGGCTTTTTCCATCAACATTAAAACAAATGACTTACTATACTTGCGATCCATCTTGTTTTGGGCATATCAATCTGTTCAGGTGACATTTCAGGTGTTCGAACTCCAAACTTAACTGATAATCTTTCTACATAAGATGCCAACCTGTACAAATTACACAATTATAAATGAATGAATACTTCAGGTAAAAACAAAATATAAAATTTATTCCAACTATGACTGTATTAACTGTATGCATATACTGAGCTGCATGGATAACCTAAGGCATATTTCTTAAAAAAAACAACAACACACACCTGAAAGCGCAAGATATTATTTCTTTAAATTTTTTCAAAGATTTCCACTTCCACAGTAGTTCAGTCTAGCTATCAATCAAAAAGGGAGTGGCAACCCTTAAAATACATCCTTGCTGGCTCCCAGATCCATTTGCTTCATTTGATATTTGTTGCTTATTTCTTGCAATGTCTATGTAGTTTGTCTTGTCCGTATGTTTGTCTTTGTCTTGTTGGTTTTGTTTTGTGGAGCAGTCCTCCTGCACTTACTGTTTGAATAGCACGCTGTAAAGACAATTAGACAGGCGACCCTTCTCCTTCTCATGTACAAATGGGGAATTGAAACCATGCCAGTTGACTGAATGACGGGCTGTATGATACAACGCACACATGTTAAATCACCAGACCATCCAACCCCCCACTCAATGGAGGAGAAATTTGTGTGTCAATTTCAATATCTTTAACAAGATTTCTAGTCTTATAACTTTAACGATATGCATTTGGAAACAATAAATCACTTAAGTACTTACCCAATTCCTGCTACATCAGATATTAAATTACCAAATCCAGCCGCTGGAAATCAATAAATATTGATCAGAGCAGATGAATAAAAGAAAGTATCTTAGCCATAACAACATTCAAATACTTCTTAAAGAGACATGATCTTGATAAAAATTTATTTGGGACATTCTAATTAGACATAAGAGGGAGAGTAATGGGGTTTAACATCCACTTGACACAAACTAGTTCATTTGGGGCTAACATATGGTTCAATTTTTTATTTCCATAATTCGCTCACATGTAGGGGGCTTTTTAGCAGTGGGAGGAAACTGGAGGACCCAGAGAAAACTCAAAAGGTTAGACAGATGACCATACTCATTGTCATGTACAAGCGGGGAATCGAAACCATGTTACTTGACTCAATGACAGACCTTTTGATCCAACACACATTTATTAACCATTCGCCTCCCCCCCCCCCTCAATTAGACATAAAATTTGAAATACAATTGGCAATTCATTCAATTTGCTGTGACATTTTGTCTTAATTTCTTATTAACGCATCATTCAAATTCTATGGTGGTTTTTAGGAGTCTTGCAAACTGGTTTAGACTAAGAAGGTCATCAGAGCTTGAATGTCCAATACCAGTAATCAGTTAGGTCTGTCTCAATGGTATTGTAAATAATATTAAGTAAACATAATGTCTCTTTATTTATGATTTATAGGAATTATTCAGAGATGTTGATCCCATTATATGTGAATTAAATGTGTATTTAAATAAACATGTGTGCCAAAAGGTTATATTTAACACATTCATTTCGGGTTTTACATTTTTTGTGTACATACCTGCCATTGTTGAAATACCTAGTCTCATTCCCAGGGTCAAATCTATATATTCTCCCTGTTAAATATATAAATAATAACATACATTTATCTATACTAATTAAGAAGTATAATCGGACACATTTTTTTAAAATTCTTCACTGTTTAAATTACAATATATGTGTCTTATCGGTTAGCAAATAAACCAATCAAAAAAGATCTTATAAATACATCTAGGAATGGAATGAAGTTTAAAATCTGATTATTCTTAGACCACACTAACAAATATATTGTAGGACTCTTGTGGTGATAATACCACAAAACTGAAAACAATTATTTATAATCATGTGGCATGTACATGTATTTGTGATAAGGGGACTGAATGCTTGTAATAAAATTCACACTAAAGCTACTAAATCTTGCCATAAATGTTGCATGTTTTGCCAGATTTAGCTAATTTCATTATACAGTTATGTTTCCTTTCTAACTAAGATCTGTCAAAATAATTAGCATCAGGCTGATAAAATATATGTATAGATTTATGTGCTAGATCTTACGATCATTCCCTAGTATGATTAAATGATACTATAAACAAATACTTACAAATCCTATCATAATTAAATTATCCAGAAAGCCAAAACCAAAAAAAGGCAATGCATTGTGGAAGGCGACTGAAATAAATAGAAAAATTATATAGTTTAATTTATGAATGAGATTAATAATACAGTAATCATATGTTGGCCATTTAAGACTTACACTTGCATTTCATTTAATACACAATGATAGCAGACATATGTTGTACAGTATTATTCGTGAGCACAATTCTGCAAAATTAGAAGGGCTGTATGTCTTGAGATTAATCCCACATTTATATGATATAGTCATCTGTCACACTTTCGGATTCCCCAATTTAACCCCCCCTTTTTTAAGTAGTCGTCTATCACACTTTCGGATTCCTCAATTTAACCCCACCCTTTTTTTAAGTAGTCGTCTATCACACTTTCGAATTCCCGAATTTAACACCCATTTTTTAAGTAGTCGTCTATCACACTTTCAGATTCCCAAATCCCTCCCCCCCTTTTTTTAAAGTAGTCATCTATCACACTTTCGGATTCCCCAATTCAACTTCATTTCTAAATACCCACTTGTATATGTTTCTAACTAATTAATAAAAATACCACGTCTCAAAATAGCATTTTATCTTGAACACTAAACCCTCATTTCTATCTATACCATTGATGATTTAGTCATTTCCATTAAGAAATCCAGAAATAAATATCTTAAAAGCCTACAGAAAGGTAGAATTAGCCATTACATGTATTAGACGGTAGTTCCAGACTTAAATGTGTGATTATCAGAAAATGTCAGATTTTATTTTCTATGTATTTAGCATTCATTGGACAAACATTTCCTGACTGATATCTCTGATGGTACAAAATCATGGCTTTTCTTGTGATAAGGGAGGTAATAAAGAGTAATCAATGAGATGAAAGTTGAGAGAATCAATACAATAGTCTGATACATGTCAATATGTTTCTTGTAACACATACAGTAATAAACTTGGAACTATATTACATGCTGTACATACAAATATTTGTTGAGCTCTATTAAACATGACATAGAATGGTTTCTGATGTCTGGTCAACATACTTTGAGACAAAGATATGATTATTTTTATTCACAATGATTCTGTGTAGATTGCCAAAGGGAGAATTGTTCAAATAAATTCTAACTGCCAAAGGGAGAATTGTTCAAATAAATTCTATTAACTGCCAAAGGATTTTTTGTTTTATGTGCACTGACAGATTATACACATAAACTTGCTTAAACAAGATACATTTTGATTGACAGTTATTTTAAGAAATCTATGATTCTGCTATGAACCATACCAGGTAGTATTTTATACAGCTATTCATCCAATATTAAGTGGCAGATATAGACCATAATTTGGCACCCACTTGGGAGTTTCTAGTTTAATAATAGTCAGCTAAGACAGTACTTTATGGAATAATCCACTTACTGTAACATTTATGAATGGGTATATTAAATACTGACTGGTCATATATATATATAATTATTTATCATTTATTATAGAGACATACATGTATATATATTTAAACTTACTTAAACATACATTATGCAAGAGTTAAGTCTGCCTATTGCAGGTCTTTTTTTTTTCTTAACAAAACAAGACCATAATCAACTCTCGATGGCATCGGATACTCTAGATTTTAATTAGATCAGAACGGTTCGCCATTTAAAAATTTAATTTAAAAAAGGGAAAGCGAAGCTAAGCCTCGAATATACCAGTGCCCTGGTTACCACTATGCACACATCTTGTCAAAACTACAAACAGTGATAACTTGGCTCAGAATGAAATAATTTGAATGAAATTTTCATTTTACATTATCTATTTTTGAGCTATTATATGGTCAGTTCTTTATCTAAATCTTACATAATGTATCTTTAATATTTTATGAATGGCTGTATTAAATACTGACTGGTCATACATATATAGATTTTTTTATCATTTATTATAAGATATATACTTACGAAATCGAAGTTGTTCTGAAGTTGGTGGCTGTACGGGGCCCTGTCCTACAAGATAAGAATAAATATTATCAATAATCCAATATTGGGGCTTTACATGATATCATACATGATAAATCATCAATCCTTTACAACACCATTATCATCTGAATTTTTAAGGATTTGAAACATAGGTTGCCATGAAGCAGATAATGAAAAACATGCCCACCAAAAGCTGTGTCGTAAAGACCAAAATATATTTGTCACACTTTTACTGTTGCTAAAGTAAAAAGCAAGTGTAACAATTTCTTTAATACTAATGAATATAAAAAGCTCTGCAAATTGCACAAAGATCCAATATAGCTCTATTCTTTGGAACCTTAAAATAGACAACAACAAAATGGATCTAAAAGCACATATTAATGTGAAATGAAATGGGGTTTATAGTCCTACTTTTGTGCTACATATTAATGTAATATGAATGTATACAATATGATTTACATTCAATTGTAAAAAATGTTATTTCTCAATATGTTAGTTGAAATACATGAACTGTCCAAATTGATCAACAGTTGTTTGCACCTGCTTAGTCCCGTAGACCATTTTACACAAGGTTTTTTTAATTATTATTTTGTCGTTTGTGAATCAGCCAGTTTTGATTACTTCTGCGTTGTCTCGGGGATATAGATGTCTGTTTACTTTTTAACATCAGTAGATTTGATTGAATTAAAATATTGGTAAATATTTCATAGGAGACAAAAAACAGACCAAATTTCATTTGTTTTAATTGACATCAAATATTAACAAGAGCATTGCCAACGCTGCAATATACGTCCACATTCCTGCTTTGATTGATATGGTAAGTTTTAAGATGAAGAGAATGAAAGATGAAATTGCTGCATCGACTGCAAAATGACAAGAGGCAAAGAATGCTAGGGGTTGGGTTTGTTTTGCCAAAATTACAATCATCCTTAGGGTATAAGGAATAAGTATGCAAATTTTCAAAACAATCCGTAAAGAATTGTGGCCTGCAGGCGATACACAGACACACACAGACAGGGGCAACGGCATGTACATGTATGATGTATGTAGATTACAATTACGGTACACATGTATGTAATTGTAATGTGTGATGTACAAAATGTTGACATCTTTCAGTACATCAGGAACTGAACAAGACAAGTAATTTGATAAAGGCTATCAATATAAGCTTATCTCAGTGTGAGTAATTTAAAGTAGCTAAGTCTCTAACTCAATTTCATCCAAAATCTTCGACATTGAAAACACGATTTATTTGTCTGTTTAAATCAACATTGATGTTGTGATCTTACCGGGAAAAGATGGCCTTCTGATATCCAATATTTAAGACAAAATAAACATTTTACAATTGGTACACGAATCGTGTACCATAATGCATTTCAGTGCTATTTGTAATAAGGGACTCGAAAAACGAGGCTAGGCATATTCCACAAGTCATGTCAAACGGTGACGCTATATTCTTATCTGGAGAGCATCCCCAATAAATACTATTGGCGTGGACTGGAATAACCAGAAGCTAGAGATTGAAATTCGATTGAGAATACTGGCGTATGTCGCCGAACCTAACTATTAGAAATTACAGTAAAAAAGAAACGAATGAATGTAAATCAATTTATATACATTCATATTACATTATTGTATGCATTGCGACCCATTTGTGTCAATTTCTAGGTCCCAAATATTAGCGACTTAGCTCCTTTAAGCAAAGTGGGTTGTTTTTTCAGACTGTGTTCTGTTTCTGTGACAATATCAAACATATATGAACATGTAGCTGATAGATTCAAGTGCCTGAGATACAAACCATTTCACCATTTAAAGGTTAAAACTTATCAGTTATCACTTTAAGTTCTTTAGCTAATTAAATCTGTACACATTCAATACGTTTCTACCAAATCAAATTAAATCTTCTCAAACCTTCCTCACAATGGTTATTTCTAGAACACATATAGACATAATTTTTATCCTGATAAATTCAAACATATTTCTTGATTATATGTATCTATATAGATATTTCTTCCAATAATTAATATTGATTTTTGGATACTTTTGTAGGTGAAAATGTTTTATATATTTCTGTAAATTGATACTGATTTTCATCTAAAAATGTAGGTGACAACTTATCAATTGTCTGTAAAAACTTTTACAAATGACATGAATTACTATGTGTCTGAATTCCAAAATTATAAAGGTCACTACATTTTTTGGTTGTTGTTTTTAGAAATATCCTTTTTATCTCATTTAATGATTTTGGCAGACTGATATTTCACAAGTGGCTTTTGTCACACAAGTGAAATACTGTTAAACCTAATTTAATTGTTTTGTGGATGCTGGCTATACATAAGTATGATCAGTGATGAGTACTCTCCAAGGGTACATGCATGTGTTAAGGGACATAAGCATACCTTTCTTTAATTCCCAAATACAGGAGTGCCACATTCTGAACATGTGATATTTATGAAAAAGAGGGATTAATATTGTGGAACAAGCCCCCTCCCCTGACTGAACAAAATCCTTGTCGGTCTTTCCGTCGAATTCTTCTACGTCACCAACATTAACGTGATCACGTGAGATTGCATCAGAGCCCATGTGACCTCAGTGCATCTTCTGCCTTCGAAGTGACCGGATGCAAAATACTCAAACTAATGAAAGAAATTTTGACGACGCAGTCGCTCAAATATTTTCTTTCTGCTACATATTTTGTAGTTTATTATTAGCTATTGACGACGTAGTCGCTCAAATTATTAGCTTTTTTAATTTATCTAGTCCACGGGACTAATTAAAATGTCATTCTTTTCCTCTGCGGAAGAAATTCTCAGAAATCTTCACCCAGGGCCACGTGGTCCTGTTGAAATTAATAGTATGGCTGAGAAAATGTTGACAGATAAAATACCATCTAAAGATAAAGATGATATAAAAGACACACCCAAGTCGTTAAAATCAACGAAGAAAAAGCCAGACCAAATATCTTCTCCAAACAGGTCAAACAAAACACTAGTCGAGTCTAGAAAAGTATGCCAAAGTTCGCAGCTGACCGGAGAAAAGACAAGTCGTAACATGACTCGTAGGCCTACTAGTAGTGATGCCGATGGCATTGACACTAATTTTAGTAATTAGTAAGTCAAGTAGGCTTACCAAGTGCAGGTAACGAACTGTCAGTGTTATGTCAACAAATGACTTCGACAATTACTGAACAAATTAGAAAAGGTCTGAATGACATAAAATCAAGTGCAATTACGATTATGAACATCCAATGATGTATAACGATTATGATTATGAACATGAAGATTATGAAGATGATTATGATTATGACAATAATTATTATTACGATGACCAAGAGGACAAAATTGAAAAATTATGTTCATCAAATGTTCAAAATGTTGATTGTGAACGAAGACGATTCAACTCCAAGTCCAAGTCCACAAATTTGGACGAACCGGAAGTAGTAACCAGAGATGAAAATAATATTGTTGTCAATGTTGACACGACGAAAGAGGATGTTTTACAACACATAGCTGCTGAATTGAGTGCAGGCGAACAAACATCGGATAAAATAAATACAGAACTGGCTGATTTAGTCAATAGTCTTGTGTTGAGGCCAGGCTGAGACTCGGAACCTGATGAAAAATTCAAAGACAGGTTAAAAACAACGCTACGGCCTGAAAATTGTGCATCGCTGGTAAATACAAAAGTTGATGAGTTAATTTGGAGTAGGTTACAAACAAAAACAAAAACGTTTGATTTAAAATTACAGTATCTCCAATCACTATTGATCCAGGGCCTCATCAAGACTGTAAAAATTCTGGATCTAATTTTAAAGGAGAAGGAAAATGTCTCAAAAAGTGAAATTATAATTAAGGAGGGGATTTATGCTACAGGAATTTTTGCAGAAGCCAATTATGAACTTAATATGAGACGAAGGGAATGCATAAAACCTGATTTGAATAATGACTATAGAAGTTTAGTATCCAAAACGGTACCCATGAACACTTTCCTATTTGGAGGGGACACGTCAAAACGATTAGACGATATTGAGAAAACAAACAAGGTGGTTCGTAAAGCCATGCGTGGCGGCGGAGCAAATTTTAACTATTTAAACAATTATGGTGGTAATCGTTACATGAGCATGAGAGGTTATACTGGTGCAAGACGTCGTCCAGTCTTCAGACAGCACCCATATAGTAGAGGGGGTCGAGGACAATACAGACCCAATATGAATTACAGTACCGGTAGACGATATTACGATGGTAATAATAATAGTAATAAAAAGAAACCAATAGATGGTAACACTTCAGGTAATGAAAATGAGGTTTGTACATCAATAATGAAACAAAAACAAAAGTCAGGTTTTAATATACGTGAACTTTGCCTTATAGATAGAAATGTGTTTGAGGCAGGACGTTTAAGATTTTTTCTTTCAAATTGGGAGAAACTTACGTCTGATCCAACAATTTTGGACACAGTTGCACACTCTCATATTGAATTATATGATGATGAAATTAATTGTACATTTAGAAAAACTTTTGTAAATCAGAAAGAGGAGATTATAATTGATCAAGAATTATCTCGTTTATAAGATTTGGGAGTAATTGAACAGGCTGATCATAGCCAGGGAGAATTTATATCCCCAATTTTTATTAGGCCTAAAAAAGATGGAAAATTTAGATTAATTTTAAATTTGAAAAGGTTTAATCAAAACGTAGAATATCACCATTTCAAAATGGAGAGTGTGCACTCTGCAATAAAACTCATGAAACCGGAATGTTACATGGCATCAATCGATTTATGTGATGCATATTATGGAGTAAGTGTTGCTGAAGAACATAGAAAATTTTTAAGATTTATATGGACAGATTCTGTTTTTCAGTTTACTTGTTTTCCAAATGGGTTAGCATGTTGTCCTCGAAAGTTCACAAAATTACTGAAACCTGTCTTTTGTACACTAAAACAAGCTGGATATGTCAATGTTCCATATATAGATGACAGCTATTTACAGGCTGATACAGCTCAAGAATGTTGGGATAATGTTGTCA